CAGCTTGTGCGGGGTTTAGGACCTACCCTAGCTGCAACTCTGCATTTTAAATGTAGTAATAACTGGGCAGCTCTTACTACATTTATAATGCAGAGCCGCAGCAGTCCTGGACCTGCGAAGCAGCCCCTGTCCATGAATCATCTGTGAAATTTGTGCACCTGGCTCCTACTACTTTTAAACTGCAAAGCTGCATCGGGTACCTCCTGGACTTGGCGCGAGCTGGAACAGAGTCTTCACCTATTGACGTATCGACTACTCGATTAAAATTGTATCAACTACATGATTAGCTGACTTATCGTTCTCTTAACATCCTTAATTTGTGATATTGCTAAGGTAAAATATGAATAGGTTTCTTAAAGTCTCAAATTAGAACTCTTTATATACATTTGGAGGTGGGTGGGGGAAAGAGCACAAATCTTCTTTTAATCCCTGTAGATAATCTTTAAATAGCCCTTTACAACTTAACCCTGCTTTACCTAGCTGATCTAGTAATACCACAGCATTGACCTATGTTCCTCCTCTTTTGGGATTCAGGTTCTGTAGTTTCCCTGTCAGAATGTTGCTCTTTAAAGACTTTGGAAAGCATGCTCCACGCCTCATCCCTGTTGGGTTTTGAACAGCAATTCATGTTCTTAATCTATAGGTCAAGTGCTATAGCTATCTTTAGAAATTTCACATTGGTATCTTCTTTGTGTTTTGTCAAATCTCCTGTGAACATGCTCTTAAAACAAACGTTTTGCTGGGTCATCATAAGAGAGTCATATCATGAAATATATGGCAGAATGTGGGTAAAATAGCAGGAAACATAAATTCTCCCCAAAGACGTTCAAATCAAATTTTCATGTGTGGTGGTGGTGTGGTATGGTTTTTTTTTTTTTTTTTAAATGAACGTCATCAGCATGAAACCATGTTCTCTGGAATGGTGACCAAAGTATTCTGAATGTTTAGCACATGTCACACATACCTTGCAATACCAGCTACAAAAATGCCACGCAAGCAGCTGTTCTGACTTTCAGGTGACGATGAAAATAAGCAGGCCGCTGTGTGTCCCATATATAAATTAACTTCTTTGTCTTAGCAATTGACTGAATAGGAAGTAGGACTGAATGGATTTTAAAGACTATAAGTTTGACATTGGTTTGGTTTTGAGTTCAGTTATATAACAGAACACACTACATTTGTAAGTTATGCTTTCATGATAGAGATTGCACTACAGTAATTGAAGTGAATTGAAAAATACTATTTTATTGTGCAAATATTTGTAATATCTAAAATGAGCACTGCATTCTGTGTAATAGAAATCAATATATTTAGATGTTTTTCTTCTCTTTCAATGTAACTTCAGTTGGTATTCTATTGGTTAGGGTGTAATTAATTGTGTGGTTTTTTTGTTTTTGTTTTTAAATCAAGATTGATTTCTTTTTGTTAAGTTATGCCATTAACTGATGGACAACCCTACTTTAACCCCCCCCCCCTTTTTTTTTGAAGTCTCTCCCACACCATTGCTTTATGCATAGGCAAAATTCCTGATATAAGCTTTTCAGCCACTATAGAATCTTAAGAAACTGGAAGATAAATCTTTAATGTGGTGCCTAGAAATCCCTCGTTGCCTGTCATGGCTAGCTGTTCCCTGCTTGCCTTTTCCTACTCCTTCGTGCTGCTGCAATCATTGTCATTGTTCATCTGTCCCCATCCCAGTTTAAACAACTGAATGTTTAACTTACAAAACTATATCAAGACTCTCCATATTATTTTTCTGTGTTGTATCCCTGTCCCTAGCCTTTGTTTTTCATGTCTTTTAGACTGTCTTCCAGGGCAAGGATTATTTTCTACATTTTCATACTACACAGTCGTGTCCTGGTCAGAGCTGAGTTTTTGGAGACTGCCATAATACTTGCATATATTATTCATAAATCCTGCCAAATGTAAAATAAGCCTTGTCTGCATGGTTTGGTTACTGCAGTGAAGGAGGCATCTTGTGGGCTATCAGATGAACAAAGCTGAAATATATTTAGCATCTAATAAGACTTAAGAATTTGTGATATTCATGACTTCCCTTTTTGGAGTTGGAAATTACTGTGTTTGTATCTGCTGCATCCTCAACTTTGCCCGTAATTCCCTCTGCATGCCTATGGAAACAGTATTTGTCCCACTAAATGATTCTGGTATTGCCTTAGTTATAGACCACTAGACTTTTGCACAGTGTAAGCTTGATGAGGTTTCTTGTCTATAACCTTGCCTAAAACACACTTGTGGTTTCTGGCAGTATAGGATCAGAACCTAAGTATGCTGGAACTGGGTATAATGCATCTGGGCAGAGGTCATTAACTTTATTTATTTAACTCTTGAATTCAGGTGGGGGGGACCCACTTACCATGGCCGACAAGATGCCATGCTCTGATCCCAGCTGGTGACTGTCTTCCTTGTGTGGCTCCCCCCCAATGGCTACTCTGCACTGTAGTATTTTTCTGGCACAAGCAAACCCTCATCTTAGAACATAAGAACAGCCAAACTGAGTCAGACCAAAGGTCCATCTAGTCAAGTGGTCCCCAACACGGTGCCCGCAGGCGCCAGCATTTGTGTATGCCCACCAAGTGCTCGGGGCTGGCCTGGCCCCGGCATGTGGCGCATGCATGGTGCCGGAGCTGGCCCCGGGCGCACCGCAGATTGGCCACCCGCGCTCTGGGCGTGTGGCGCTTGGGGGGTGGGTGGGGCGCTGCCCCAGCTGCACAGCACTTGGAGGGGTTGCCGCCCCCAGGCGCGTGGTGGGCGAACGGCCATGCCCCCTGGTGCCTGGCAACATCAAATGGTTGGGGACCACTGATCTAGCCCAGTGTCCTGTCTTCTAACAGTGGCCAATGCCAGATGCCCCAGAGGGAGTGAACAGAACAGGGGATCATCAAGTGATCCCTCTCCTGTCACCCATTTCTAGCTTCTTGACAGAGGTTTGGAACACCGTTCCTACCCATTCTGGCTAATACCCTCTATGAATTTATCTAGTTCTCTTTCGAGCCCTGTTAAAGTCCTGGGGGTTGACTGAGCTGTGTGAAGAAGAACTTCCTTTTGTTTGTTTTTAATCCTGCTATCTATTAATTTCTTTTGGTGACTCCTAGTTCTTAGGATAAAAGGAAGTTGCATACTGAATTTGGTGGTCCTAGCTCCTACTGTTTACGAGGTGTTCCCTGAACAAACAGGCTCTTGGACGGGCTTGCAGACAGACGCACAAATGTCTAAAAATATATATATATATATAGGGAGGGAGGGAGGGAGGGGGAGAGAGAGATGATATGCATAACTTATGCTTGAATAATATCAGGACATCTTGATAACTCATCCCTGAGAATGGGACCATTCTAATCCCCAAATTTTGTTTTTGTCCTCAAAGTCAAATACAAAAACTGTTGACTCTTGCTTTCAGACTTTGTTGAATTGGTTTGATGCATACCAAATGGCTGTTTTAATGTTAGTTTTGGGGGAGGGTTTTTTGAGATCCTATGCTGAACTTCTCCAGAGGTGTAGCACAAAAGTGTAGTCCAGGTAGAGGGCCAAGTCACTGAGTATCTGGGCTACCTCTTGGGCTTGGTCTGATGCGGTCTCCAGAATAAGTTAAAGCAGCTCCGGAGGCCCTTCTGACTTAGTGTAGCCGTCCCTGACCATCTATAGGTTGTGTTGTAGCACAGAATGTTCAGAGGAGCTATTTTTTTTAATATACCTTCGTGCTGGCATTCTGCCAGAGGGCAGAGTAGGGCTGCCTATGTAGGTTCTATGCTGCTTCTGTGCTGGAGATATTCCCCAGGAAGTTATGGCCCCTTGGAGCTGTTAGAGGAGACCAGATTCCAGCCCTGAATCTATTTTTAGTAGTGCAAATTTAAAAGAATGAAATTGGTCTAAAATGCACTGTTGATTAACTTGGTTGTGAAGTTCTGGTAGAGTGAAGGATGTTGGGGGTGCAGGCATGTCCCCTTCCTAAAGCACTGATGGGGGGCAGGGAGAAGGGTTTAGGTTATTGTACACTGGAAAAGTGTCTTTCAGATGGCGTGCTGCTCCTGATGTGACTCTTGGGTAACTGTTTATAAAAAGCCAGCCAAGTTTGTTGTTACTGCCAGCACTGCAGAGCTAATACAGTGGCAGGAGAGCCAGCTGTCATGTATTCTGCCATACATCAACAACAGACTAAGCACAAATCCTAGTACCATTCGCTGTAATGGTAATGTGTGACCCAACAATCACCCAGCTTTGTTTCAATATCGACTTGCTCTCAGGACTGGTAGCAAGAAAATTCTGGCATTGGTTTGTAACCTGCACCAATTTTATATGAATAAATGAGGGGAAGCATATAGGGGTCACATGTTCTCTTAAAGAGGCTAGATGTTTTGTGAATCTCTCTGAGCAGCAAAGATTTTCTTTTTTTAATTACTGATCCAGTAAGGTAAATAGACTTGTTCGTGCCCTAGGCTGGGTATGCTGTAACTCATTTGACTTATCTGTTGGATTTAGCTGACACATGATGAGCTAAGTGGGGAAGATGGGTGGGAAGGAGTTCGCTTTTGTTAGGCTGCATTAATATCATCCAGTATTCCTGTTTAAATTTGAGAGAGTTCAGAATTGCATTACAGTAGCATAAAGTGTCCCATTAAACATTTTTCTTCTTGTGAAGTCAGGTAAGGTAAATAGAGCTTGGATCTACTGTGAATGACTTAACCACTTAAGAAATCCTCTTGAAGAACCTTACTTGTATGCTTTCTACCAGGGTATTTGGGAATTTAAGACACTTAGATTCTTCCTCATTAAAAAAAAAATGGACAGAAATCCTATTGTTCAAATGAAGTTCACACAATTGTTTTCCCCCCTTAAAGTTGATGATAGTACGACCTTATCGATTAAAGTGGATTACATTATTGTGTTAAAATTAACCACAGATGTCAGTGTTTGTTTTTCATTGTAATTCTATACTTTCCTCTTGTATCATAGCTCTATATGTACAATGAAATGGTGAGCTAATTTTCATGAAGCTTTTGTTTTTCAGTTTTCAGTTGACCAAAGAAATGGTGATGGAGAAGCCAAGTCCCCTGCTGGTCGGGCGGGAATTTGTGAGGCAGTATTATACTCTGCTCAATCAGGCACCTGACTATCTTCACAGGTAATGCTGCTTAATGTTTCACTTTGTTTTTCTTTGCATGTATTTAACAATACTTTCGTGTTTATAAACTGTAACAAAACCCTCCTTTTGGCTCGCCTGATGCAAGATTTGGATACCTTTTAATGTGCTAATTTTTGCTGGATGGACTCTAATCTTACATTAAATTAATTCTCAGTTGCGACCAAATGGACCAAAAATAAAATATTACAGCATAGAGTTTTTTTTTTTTTAAATCTGAGGTATTTCTAATGGATAGTGCTTAAATTTGGAGAACTGTTCTGTTTAGCCTGAAGCTTGTTTACTAAATTCAGGTCTCATTCTTAAGATTTAGTTTCAAAACCATGGTTGATTAAAGTTTTTAATTGATATAATTAAATTTGAAATTATGGCAACCTATTTTAAGGTCTAAAATTAATTTAATCTACTAAATTATTTTTAAAAGACACATTATGTCATTGAACTGTCCCAAGAAGTGTAAGGAAGTAGAGTATTCTGGAATTCTATATTGTATGCAGACTCAGAGGAAAAACATCTTTTAACTTTAACAATCAGCTCAAGCATTATAACTGTCAATGTCTCATACTACATTAAGTATTTCTATTTTCAGTCTTTACTATAAAGTGAATATTGATATTTAGGAAAATGTCGTCTACTGGCTTCTGTTGTGCAGAAAAGCTGTTGTCTTTGATCAGTTTTGGGTTATAGGTTAATTAGTGTAGAGAGAATATTTTAATATGGATAAGTTCATTCAACTTAAAAGATGGGCCCTTTTGCATTTTGAATGCTTGTAACAGAATTCCTGTTCTGTCCAAATGCCGCTTGATACACGTCCTCAGGAAACATTTAGTCAATAAGAAACACATCCCTCAGTTTCTAACATAATAAAGAAGTAAAAATTTAAAAACCTCCATTGGTGTATGTTGTAGTATACCTATGCACACTTTATTTAAGCAATTGTATTGTGTATCATCCTGGATACTCCTAGATTGAGGCCAGAAGAGTCGGTTGTATGATCATCTACAGGTTGAACCTCTCTAGTCTGGCAGTCTGTGGTCTGGCTAGGGATTTTAAATTGTGTTTAATCAACTAATTGACTAGTCAGTAAGGGGGGAAACTGTAGAGCCATAGAGGGGTTAGCTCCTGACCCCCAGAGCTAACTCTGTTGCAGCTCTGCCTTTTAAATGCATTAAGAGGTATCTGGCTGAAGCGCAGTGGTTGCAGGGGAAACTAGGCGCAGGCTGGGAATCAGCTGATTCTTGGCTTGCGCCCAGTCCCTTGCTATGCCTCTGCCCCCCTGCAGAGATGGTACTGGGGGGGAACTGCCTTTTAAGCTGGCTCCCTCCAGCACCGGCTCCTCCTCACGCCTCCCCCCCCCTCCCCCCCGCTGCCTTTGATATGCTTATCGGATAGTCAACTAGTTTTATACATCCCCAGGTCTACCATGATTTTATTTGCCAGATGTTTTCTTACGTGTGTGGTTTTCCTCTGTCCCACAAAGTTTGTTTACAGCCACTAGTCCTGACTGTGTTCTGTGCTGTTATTTAGCTCTAATTTACCCCTAAATGTCCCCTAACAGCCAAGTAAGCTGTGGAAGTGCTGATAATGCTGCTAGACCAGTGATCTCCAACCTTTTTACACCCAAGATCACTTTTTTAAATGACAGACCAAGCCAAGATCGACTGCCCTGCCCCTTCCTTGAAGCCCCGCCCTCTCTATTCTCCTCTCCATCACTTGCTATCCCCAATCCTTATACTGCTGGCGCTTTTGTTTTTTTAATTCTTCTGTAGGAAGAGGTTTTTCCAACATTTGGCCTGTCTAGACTGGACCAAATGTCAGAAAAAAACCCCTTCTTTTGGAAGCCACCTTATTCCTTGTGGAAAGAGGAATATAGGGGTGACCGAAAGAGCCTGTTTGCTCTTCCACTAAAAAAGCGGAAGAACAAACGCAACCCTGGATGCAGACGAGTTTTTCTGGGATATCTCCAGAATCCTGAAAAACTCCTGCAGTCTAGCTGGACCCTTGCTGTGTTGAGACAGGATGTGTAGGCTCCGGGGTGGGAATGAGGGATTTGGGTGTGGGAAGGGGTGAGAGATGCAAGCTCTGGGAGGCAATCTGGATGCAGGAGGAGGTGGAGAAGGGGACACTGGTTCGGGGAGGGGGCTCCAGGCTGGGCAGTGTTGGGATACTAAGCAAGCCACAGGGGATGTGAGGGGCGGGGCGGTGTGGGGATACAAAGAAAGCCACAGGCTTGTGGATGTGAGGGTGCAGGAGTTTGGGTTGGGGAATGAGAGGGGCTCAGGGCAGGGGGTTCCAGTGTTTGATAAGCTCAATTCTAGGGCCTGGGGAAGGGGGAATGCACCAAATTATTTCAGGATTTGTTACTAAATGTTTGAAGCTCAAATCCACCTATCTTGATGCTGCACTTGTGCTCAGCATGGATTTGATCACTACACTAGACTTTAACAGTTATTAGGCTGCAGTTTAGTTCATAAACTCCAGCATCCTCCTGGCTAATAAATAATGGTCTAGTGAAATCAGACACATCACAGCTATTCTGCTGATATTCAGAAGTCAGAACACTGAGAAGGGAAGTGTCCTCATGATAAAAACATACAATATTTTGGGCTGATGTTCCAATAGGAAAACAACTTCAAAAATAATCATTTTAAAAAGAAAAAGGTAGAAATTGGAGTTAAAAATCAATGGTGCTGTAGCTTCCTCAGGAGGGGCAGGGTGCCAGGGGACAAGTTTCTGCAGAGGGGGGGCAGGTTTCTGCAGCGGGGGGGAAGGGCAAGGGAGAGGGAACAGGGGGCCAGGAGGGCAAGGGACAGGGTTCTGTGGCAGGGGGTTAATGGGGGCAGAGAGTCCCCTGCGCCAGCCTCCTCCCAGGATTCCACCCCCCAGAGGAGGGAAGCCCCGTCACACACCTCCTCTGGGCCTGACTCCCCCCTCCCACGGAGCAGGGAAGCCTGCGCATGCGCCCCCTCGGGGTCGAGCTCCTCTCCCACGGAGGGAGAAGAGGCTGCCCCGCGCTCCAGCTGATCGGCGGCTTCTCCTCTGCACCTGCCCACGTGGAGCTTGGTGCCCCCTGGCTGAGCGCCATGGCCAGCTGGCGGGGAAGCCGCTTCTCTTCGCTCCCGCCCAGCTGCCCTGCGCTCAGCCCGGGAAGCTTGCTCCAGCACAGCTGGAGCTAGACGTAGCCTCCCTGGGCTGAGCGCAGGGCAGCTGGGCTGGAGGGAAGAGAAGTGACTGCCCAGCCAGCTGGCCATGGCACTCAGCCAGGGTGTACCAAACTCCACATGGGCAGGTGCAGAGGAGAAGCCGCCGATCAGCTGGAGTGCGGGACAGCCTCTTTCAGCTGAAAGCCACAGTCAGCTGGCTGGGGTGTTTCAGCCCTCCCGGCCTCCCAGCTCCTACCATTCCTCACAGCTACTCACCTGTGTTGTTGCTCGGTGAGTAGCTGCTCCTCAAATGAGGAAATCTAATGTAAATGCACTGCGCAGGCATGCAGTTCAGAGAGGGCTCGAGCTACTCTTAGAGCCCCTGAGATCTACCGGTAGATCACGATCTACTGGTTGGTGACCACGGTGCTAGACAATATTGACCTCTTGTGGTTCGACAAATTCTCTGATTTGGCACTGGTCACGTCCTGAGGGTGCCAGGCTAGAGAGGTTCAACCTGTAGTCTGACCTCCTGCCTAATGCAAGTCATAGAATTTTCCTGAATTAAGTGCTGTTAGGATGTCTGTCTGAAAGATACATTTAATCTAGATTACCAGTAATGGAGAGTCCACCACAATCTTTGGTAAATTGTTCCAGTGGTTAATTACCCTAACTCAGGATTTCCCAAACTCTTTTGGCTGTGAAGTCCCTACTGGGTCCTGAAAACTTGGTGGAGCCCTTAAAATATCATGATTTTTAATTCTGTAGGTACCCAAATAGACAAAGTTTAGATTTTTTTTATTTCTTTTGTAAATAGTTTCATTAAAAAGAACCAGAAAATGAATAACAAAATAACAGGGTCATACAACCGTCATTAATATTTTCTTGTGGAGCCCTTCGACCCATTGTGCGAGCCCCAGGCTCCGCAGAGTACACTTGGATAAACCCCGTCTTAGTGGATAGAAACCCGTGCTTTATTTCTTGTCTGAATTTGTCTTTTCCCCTTCCAGCCATTGGATCGTGTTACACCTTTGGCTGCTAAAATTGAAGAGCCTGTTTTCAATCATGTTTGTTTACCGTGTAGTTGGTAATGAACTGTGATAGTCACTCCATAACTGACTTTTTGCTAATGTATTTCATTGGTATAAAACATGTTGATTTGCATTCAATGAAAACCGACCATTGTTTAGAAAAACAAGAATAAATGCTAAAGTTAAAGTCAATTATTTAAACTAGGTACTGACTTAAATAGGTCTATCCTGATAATAAATACATCATTTTTTGGCAGACTTATTCTTGTTTGGGGTAATGCTTTGCCACGCTAGATAAGTTAAGAACTCTTTCAATCTTGAAACCCCTTTTAATTCATAAATGTCACTAGGTATCCAGTGAAAATGATTTATAATTGTTCACAAGTGTGTAGAACAGCTAACTCCCTCATTTAGCCCAGGCAGTTTGCTGCATATGCCCATGGTTTTTTATTTTGTTCTTACCTGTTGGCAAAATTCTCTGCCCTGTAATGCTACTGCTATTTTGGCAAATTGCAGAAGGAGCTATAAAATGGAAGCTTTGTCTGCAGTTTTTCACAGTAGTAGCTTTTAAAGTCTCTAGGTTAATAAAATATTCTGGTTATGAATGATCAGAATTTGACTAAATATTGCCTGAAGGCACTTGCTAGCCCAAGGGCTAGAGATTAACCTAGAGCATGGTGGTGTGGGAGACAAACACATGAAGATGCTACAAATCTTAGCACCAATCCCAGCTGCTTGGAAAGGGTGACAAGGTTCTTGATAGGGAGCTGTGGTGGACCATACTGGTGGGTTCTGTCTCTTGGGTAGAAGAGAGAACTCTCTTTTGCTCCTCCAATCACCTGATGATTCTAATGGTTAAAGGGGGTGTTTCCTGCTTTTTGGCTGTCTTTCCTGACCACTTCAGTTGCCTATCTGTGCTGCTGTTCAGTTTTCCAAAACAGCAGCAGCAGACACAACTAATGAAATTGGATTTTCATCTCTAAACTAGGTAAGGGTTAAGGTTACCTAGTTAACTGAATAAACAGGTAGCAGGGGCCCTTCCTGCTGCCCTGGGCGGAGGCTGCTTCTGACCCTGAACAGGGTTCCTGGCTTCTGGCAATTTCTAAATTCTCAAAAAAAGGGAAGAAATAGTTGGTTGATTTAAATCATTTTGTTTGATTTTTTTTTTTTTACTTGTATTTATAAAAAATTCAAAACAACATTTTGTTTTTGAACAGCTTTATGTGCTGAGCATAGCAAAATGGGTATGGTCAGAACTTTTTCATCCAAAACAAAGTTCTGTCAAAACCAACCAAATGTGTCTCAGGATTTAAATTTTGAGGAAACTGCATATTCCAGCAGAATATGGTCCTGTTAAAGTTTCTCCAGCCAGCACAAGTACTCAGCCTTGGATAAGATTTAAACACATTGGCATGCGGAGTACCTTTTTAAAAATGGGCTTTCTACAGTCATCTGGTCTCCTGTAAGATCATTGGGGCTATTCTTAGGTGAATTGTGGTTTTAGGGCTGGCATGGCTTGCTCAGTTTTTTGTTTGATACATTTTATTTCTTTCTCCTATAAAACCAATATAGAGTGAGTATGGTCAGAAAAGGTCTGTAAAATTGGCCGTCAACTGAACCATGTTCCACTTACTAATTCTTAGCATGTAAAAGTCAAGTTGCATTTTTTTTGCTCCAACATTGTCAACAGGGGTAATTTTACAGTGTTAGCAATTAATTGGGGTAAAAAGAGTTTTAACTGAGCAAATTTTGATCTAGAAATTACTGAAGCAATAAACATGAGCACTGCTGTTACTAGAGGTCACTTTCCAGAGTATTGTTGTGTGTCAAAACTGATGTCTTGCAACTTTACCAGTGGCTTGAGTTTTTTAGTTAGACTCCATTGGGAGTATGAAAAATTCCAGAGTACTCTTTCTAAAATAAATCCAGAGAATCTGGAACTGGCCAGGTGCCTTCAAACACCCTTTAAATTATTTTAGGGGATCAGAAAATTCCATGGCCTGTTCAGTGAATATTAATTTCTGTGCTAAACTCTGTACTTTGCGGTAGGGAAAAATGAAGAATTTTGGTTTTGAAGAACAAATACTTGCAAATAGGTAGAACCCTGTCTGATACAGATGGGGATACAAATTTTGTATCTAGAGCTCTGCTTATTTGCATATGTCTGCTTTATATCCACAGGTAACCACATCCATGGCTTGTTTTTGCAGATACAAAATTTGTACCCCCATCCGTATCTGCAAAAACAAGCCATGGATGTGGTTACCTGTGGATATAAAGCAGACATATGCAAATAAGCAGAGCTCTAGATACAGAATTTGTATCCACATCCATATCTGCAAAAGTGAGCTGTGGATCAGCATCCACGTTCATGGGTGTGATACCTGCAGATATCCACAGATTTTCAGAACCTTGCAAATTGGAATTTGGATTTGCATGCAAGTGACATTTTGGACTGAGCAATCTTGACTGTATGCCTTTAATACGTCTTAGTTCAGGTATAGTATTTTTATTGTACAATACTGTCTGCTGAAGACCAGTAATATGATTCAATTTTTAATGCAAGAAGGCTTAATGTATAAATGGTTCCCTCTTTTACAGGTTTTATGGAAAGAATTCTTCTTATGTCCATGGTGGCTTGGATTCTAATGGAAAACCAGCTGATGCTGTCTATGGGCAATCTGTAAGTATTTGTAAAACTGAGTGAAATGCTTTTGCAAGGAATTAAATATTCAAATGAAAATGATTTTTCTGCTCTAAAATCATCTGGCTTGTTTAGTGTTTGAAGCAGAACCGTCTGTTAGATCAGTGGTTCCCAACTGCTGGTCTGTGGACCAGTGCTGGGCTGCAAACTGCTGGCCGCTGAGCTGCGACACACTGCCAGGCCATGTCCATACTGGCTGCTGTGGCACCAGGGCTGGGGTATACCCCAGGCATGTAGCTGGTGGCTGCCAAAGCTGAAGCCGACTGCTTTGTGGCAGCTCAGGGGGCCGATCTGTATCCCAGCACTGGCCCCCAGAGTCGTTGCACAACAGCTGGCTTCAGTTCCAGCTGCTGCCACGTGGTGGGCAGCTGCCACAGCTGAAGTCAGCTGTTCATGGTGGCTCTGGGGGCTGGAGCTTTGATTTTATGCAAATATTCAAACAATGTTACTGTTCCCACCAAAAGTTTGTGACTGGGTTTGCCACTCCTGCAGTATATATAAGGTTGGGAACCACTGTATTAGATGATACTGAGGGTGTGTGCGCGCGCACATACTCTTTGGGGTGGTTGTAGTTTTAATTGGTGCAATATGATCATCTTGGACAAGCCTAGTCTCAGACTTCAGAATTTAATTTGAAATAAAAGCCATTCTGTTGGGCTTGGAAGGCAAACTGGTCACATGTTCTTAAAACTGTGAACTGCTACAGAATTTGTAGATAGATATGAAATCCTGACAGTAATGCCACATGAAGCAGAGTGCCCTGGGTCATGCTGTCACAGTGGTGAAGCATTTAATGGTATTCAAACAGGGATGCCATCTGCAAACGAAAGCAAAATTCAAGTGTCCTCTTTGACTCTTGTCTACACTCAGAGGAACAAGCTCATAGCATGTTTTCCTGGGCTTTTGTTTCTCTGTCTGGATGCTGCCTACATGTAAGTTCAGTTATGATCAATTTTGCAAGTGGCATCAAAATTGGGGGAGGGAGGAGGGAAAAAAGCCAAACAGCAGGCTGTCCTGGAGAGATCAAAACAGTGACAGGTGAAAGTATTGAGGAAAATTTAAAGATCTGTACCAAGGGGCTGTGGCTTCTGGACTATGGCCTTCTAGAGCTTTGAGGGCAAATGTGGGCTATGAGGAGAGGTTTAAAAAGACTAGGACTTTAAAACTTAGAAAAGAGGAGTCTATGATAGAGGTCTATAAAATCATGACTGGTTTGGAGAAAGTAAATAAGGAAAAATTATTCACCTGTTCCTGTAATATAAGAACTAGGGGTCACCAAATTAAAATTAATAGGTAGCAGGTTTAAAACAAACAAAGGGAAGTATTTCTTCAGGCACTGCACAGTCAACCTGTGGAACTCCTTGCCCAAAGGATGTTGTTAAAGTCCTGGCCTTCACAGGGTTAAAAAAAAGCTAGATAAATTCATGGATGATAGGTCCATCAATGGCTATTAGCCAGGTTGGATAGGAATGGTGTCCCTAGCTTCTGTTTGTCTGGAAATGAGTGACAGGATCACGTGATTACCTGTTGTGTTTCTTCCCTCTGGGGCATCTGGCATTGGCCGCTGTTGGCAGACAGGATACTGGTCTAGATGGATCTTTGGCTTGACCCAGTATGGCTGTTCTTATGTTCATCAGTGGCAACTAGCCGAGATGGGTAGGAATGGTGCCCCTAGCTATGTCAGGAGCTGGGAATAAGTGACAGGGGAGGAATCACTTGATGATTATCTATTCTGTTCATTCCTTCTTGGGATTGGCCACTATCCGAAGATGAGACACTGGGCCAGATGGACGTTGGTCTGATCCAGTATGGCCATTCTTAGGTTCTTAAGCCTCATACTGAACTTGATACTCTCTCAACCCCTACCTCCAATCTACTCTATAGAGGTCCTTCTCATGAACTGTATTTACTTAGAAAATGGGTAACTGAATCTTTCTGCCTTTTGCAGGACATCCACAAGAAGGTGCTGTCACTGAACTTTAAAGACTGCCACACAAAGATCCGTCATGTGGATGCCCATGCTACTCTTAATGATGGTGTTGTAGTCCAGGTGATGGGAGAACTCTCCAATAACATGCAGCCAGTGCGCAGATTCATGCAGACGTTTGTACTTGCTCCTGAGGTATGACTTAGAGTGCAGCTGTTGCTTTTACCTTGTGGTACCACTGACATGAAAATAGTTGTACGTACTTCAGAATCTGAAGACTCTTTTTGCACAAGAGTCCACCAATGTCTTGTTGCAAATGCTTTAAGAAGCTATATTACTTTAAACTGTTTATGCTGACCTCCAACAGCATCAGAAAGGGATGTAACATTTTGAGTTGTGGTCAGTAAGTGTCATTAAAATGTTGCCTAGGTAGGTATTCTGAAAATATTGCAGATCCCAACTTAACAGTTGTATCTCACAACTAATATCTCAAACATCTATGAAGACTTGCATCCCAAGCTTTCTGATGTTATTGACTTACCGTTGCAGATACTTTCAAAAAAGAGCAGTTTTCAAAATCCGAGTGACAGTTGAAAGTGGGAGTAAAGAAAGAGAGATGGTAATTGAGTGGCATTTTTAACTTGGCAATTTCCAATTTACATTTGGGAAGCTGTAGCTCCCATCTCTCTTCAGTTTTAGTAGTTCATAGCAACGACTCAGAAAAGGTAACAGATTGTTATCTCTTTCTATGTGTTAATCACAATGATGAACTAAATTGCAGACCACTTCTTGTCTTGCTATGTGGGGGGCATGTTTTTATTTCTGCATTGTGTGGAGTTTAGTAGACACACCACTTCCAGGGAATTGGCCATGTAACTGGGCATGTCTCCAGCCTTTCCTAATTGGACTTAATATGATCTAAAATCCCACTCCTGCATTTGTGCTCTGTTAAAGAATTCCAAACATAAAAAGTTTAAATACTACTTCTTAAATGAGCACCATTAGAGAAACTACTAGTATGCAGCATCTCTGCAAAGACTTCTTCTGTCTCTGCAAGCATTGAGGCGCTAGACTTAAACAGAAAGTTAGGATGCTTTTGAGGATGTCATTTAAGTTACTCATTAATTTCTTGGTATTCATCAAGAGCTGGCTGTTTTGAATTTTAGGGATTCTGAAACTTTATTGCACTGTGACGACACCCCCCCCTTTTCTGACAAGTTACCACCCTGGGAAAGAAGAAAGGGGGGGCCGGCTGCAGCCTGAGCCTTACTACCCCAGATTGAGTGCAGTTTGGGCTTCAGCCCTGGTCCCAGCAAGTTTAATGCTGGCTTTGGGAACCCCATTAAAATGGGGTTATAATCCATTTTGGGGTCCTGACTCAGAGTTTGAGAACCTCTGCTGTTTGATCAGCTTTTTCTTTGAAGTCCAGTCAGACACGTGAGCTGTGGTGTGCTAGCCAGATACCGATTACCAAGCGTGAACTGCTTTTATAGACTGGAATGAATGTCTTCTGACACTTTTCAGTTTGAAATAGAACTTATTTGTGTCTAAAAGTAGAAAATAAAACTGAGGAAACACAGTAAAATAATTACATGTGTCTATTACCTATACACTTCTCATCCTGGTGGTAGTGAAGGCAGGTCTGTCCTCCAACGCCAAAGCAGGTCCTGGGTTGGAGCTGCATTTCCTGAACTGACTTGCCCCTCTTGAGTCCCATTTTAAACTTTTGTAGTCCTCAACTTGATTCTCAGGCTTGTAACATTCTAGCATTGTCTCTTAATACCCCTTTTGTTTATCAGGAGTCGTTTATCTTGAGCCATTCTGTTTCGTTCCTGCTTTTCTCCTACTATATTAACACAGTAAACATCCCAATTTCTCAAGTTAATGTACAATATTTGTGAATTATCCTAGAGCAGCTCCAAATCTGTCTGTTTTAGTTGTGATCGATTTGCAATTTTGTTACTGGGAATGCCTCCAAAACACTATTCTGTAAATCCATAGGTAGATGCAGGTATTGACCTTTGGTTTGGCTTTAATTTGGCCTTATTGATCTATCAGCCATAATGAAGCAAGGTATAACTGCTTGTTTGGACTGATAGCATTTTTCCTTTCTGCTTCAAGAACCATTTTAAAAGCTATTCAGTGTCTTATTGCTTTCTGCAGAGTGTTGTGTATGGCATAGTCCTCTGTCTCCTACAGCTGTGTGCTTGCCATCATACCAGCCTCTCCACCAGAATACAAACAGTATTTTCATTTTGACAAGTGTGTCAAACCTTTGTTTTTTTTAAAAAAAATTGTATGTGTCAAATCAAATATGAACTCACTTCATGAATTTTTCATCTTGACAATGAGGCTTTTTTCCTCATAAAATGGCAATATTCCTTAATTGCTGTGGCCCAGATCCCTAGGTTTGGCCAAGTTGCTTAGTGTAGTACATGGAATGGAGGGCGGAAAGTGATACAGAGCAGCCTCTCAACTCCCTTGATTTTTCTGCTTGACTGGAAGCCAAACCAGCTCTATCATAGCTTAGGGCAGCCTCACCTACAAATGTGCTCTTTATCATCTAGTGTGGTGATCCTTTGGAGTGCATCACCGACCAGTGTTCTCTCATGGCCTGTACAAGAATGTCCCTTATGCTTGGGAACTATGGCTACGTCTAGTCTACATGGCAATGCTATTTTGGGATGCTGGAGTATTCTGCAGCAGCCATCTCGCGTCTCCACAGCAAGCCTGTTATTTCAGACTCGCTATTCTGACATCCCTGTAAACCTCATCCTACGAGGAGTAAGGGATGTTTCGGAAGAGTGCTTTATTCCGAAATTTTTGTGCTGTGTAGACCCCTTATTTTGACACTTGGAGCTAATTCGAATTAACATCGAAGTAAGATATGCAATTTGTGCAGCTCAAATTGCATATCTTATTTTGAGTTCTGCTGCTGTGTAGACACGCTCGAAATGTAGATGCAACTTTGCTGGTTCGCTTTGCTGGGGCAGTTGCTACTTGCACACTGCCAGGTATCTTAAGAGGGGCAGAGCTGTGACCAGGATCAGACGCTATGGCTCTAATCTCTTCACAATCATGTAATGTTTCATCCTGGGACTGAATAAAATGGAACTTTTTATTCCTGTTTGCCTCTAGGGTTCTGTTGCTAACAAGTTTTATGTCCATAATGACATCTTCCGCTATCAAGATGAGGTTTTTGGTGATTCGGACACTGAGCCTCCAGAGGGTAAGTATGTACCAGGTGTGACCACTTGAGGATGCTACCTGATACACTAGGGCTTAGGGAGGAGAAGGGTTAACTGGAAAGCATCAGCCTTACCGGGTGATGCTTGCTAGCTATGATTAACTAGCAGCACCCTCCCCCCCACCTCTGTGCAAGTGGTTAACTAGTTAAACAAAGTTTAACTAGTTACTGATTAAATAGGATTTTACATCCCTACTGGACACACCCATTCCACCAGCCTTGGCTCCCTTGCACTCTCCTGCTGAGGCAGGCCCCCAAGCTTCCTCTAACACACACACAGGTTGGGACACATCCGGCTGCAGAATGACACGGACATTGAGATCAGCACTGCATGGGAAGGCTTTCAGCTAAGGAATTGCTCAGCACTCAAGTGCGTTCTCCCTCGGGAGCGCAAATCCAAAATTGTGTTGTCTTGAGCTACCCAAGCTCATTGAAATTCGCTTCCTTGCGCCCTCAGTGTGGAGGAAGATGTGAACAGCTGCTTGGCTTCCCTCCCTTTTCCTCCCCTCCATTATGAATTCCATAGACTGGGTTTAAAGAAAACAATTTTATAACTGCAAAAGATGGATTTTAAGTGATGATAAGGCATAGAAAACACATAGGAAAGCAGATCACTGAGCGAATAAAACAAACATACAACTAACCTTAAAGAATCTGGTAACGTCTCACCCTAAATGTTGTATTGAGCATTGTTTTCACAGGCTAGACACCTTTTCCAGCCTGGGTTCAGTCCTTTCCTCCCCAGTTCACTATTAGTTATTTACAGCCAGAGGCGTCCAGTCTGTTGAATGGTTTAGGGCAGCTGCTCCAGGCGCCATGCTTTGGGGTCGCCAGAGGGTCCAGCCACATGCAGCAGGGGGTCAGGATTACCCCCATGCTCACAGGCAGCAGTGGGAAGTGGAGTGACCCATTACCAGCATGCTCTGCTGGCTCTCAGCTGTGTTTTGGGGGAAGAGGTGGACAGCAAAGGGTAGGAATAAACGCTCAGTTCTCAGAATGGAGAGAGGTAACTAGTGTTGTCCCCCAGGGTCTGTACTGGGACCAATCTGGAGAAAGGTGCAAACAGTGAGGTGGCAAAATTCGCAGATGATACCAAACTGCTCAAGGTAGTTAAGACTGAAGCATACTGTAAAGAGCTTCAAAAAGATCTCTCAAAACCAAGTGATTGGGCAACACAATGGCAAATGAAATTTAATGTTGATCAGTGTAAAGTAATGTACATTGGAAAAAAAATCCCAACTATATATACAATATAATGGAGACTAATTTAGCTATAACTACTCGAGAGAGATCTTGAAGTCATTGTGGATAGTTCTCTGAAAACATCCACTCAATGTACAGCAGCAGTCAAAAAAACATTAATTAAAAATGGGATTGAGAATAAGAAAGAGGATATTTTATTGCCTCTATATAAATCCATGGTATGCCCACATGTTGAATACTGCATACAGATGTGGCAGCCTCATCTTAAAAAAAAAAAAAAAAAAAAAAAATCTTGGCATTGGAAAAGGTTCAGAAAAAGGCAACAAAAATTATTAGAGATTTGGAACTGGTCCCATATGCAGAGAGAGAAAAAAGACTGGGACTTTTCAGCTTAGAAAAGAGGAAGACTAAGTGGGGGATGTGATAGAGGTCTATAAAATCATGACAGGTGTGGAAAAAGTGAATAAGGAAAAGTTATTTACTTATTCCCATAACATAAGAACTAGGGGTCACCATATGAAATTAATAGGTATCAGGTTTAAAACAAACAAGAGAGTCTTTCTTCACACAGCACACAACCTGTGGAACTCATTGCCAAAGGATATTGTGAGGGCTAGGACTTTTAACAGGGTTTAAAAAAGAGCTAGATAAATTCATGGAGGTTAGGTCCATTAATAGCTATTGGCCAACATGGGTAGGAATGGTGTCCCTAGCTTCTGTTTGTCTGGAAGTGAGCAACAGGGGAGGGATAACTTGATTCCCTGTTGTGTTCCCTCCTTCTGGGGCAACCGGCATTGGCCACTGTCGGCAGACAGGATACTGGGCTAGATGGACCTTTGATCTGACCCAGTCTGGCCGTTCTTATGACCCCCTCCGCCCCTCACTCACCTGTGCTAGAAAGGAGAACAAAGTGGCTGGGGCTGGTTCACTCCGCTTCCCTCTGGCACTGCTGGTGAGGACAGGCCCAACCCTGCTGCCAGTGCCAGACTCCACACCCCGCTTGTCCCCTAGGCTGCATTGCGTGGAGGGGGCTTAGGGAAGGGGAGTGGAGCATAGCAGGGAAGAGGTGAGGAGGACTGAGAGCACGGCCTGAGCAGGGGGTGTGCCCCCCAGGCCCTGCTCCCCTCTAGGGATGGCCCTGCATATTGCAGTCATCTTGGCTGGGGGTTTAACGTGAAGACAAGAACCGTCTCTGATTATCTCACTCTATAGCTTTTAAATGGGTTTTACATAAGAACGGCCGTACTGGGTCAGACCAAAGGTCCATCTAGCCCAGTATCCTGTCTACCGACAGTGGCCAGCACCAGGTACCCCAGAGAGGGTTGACCGAAGACAATGATCAAGCGATTTGTCTCCTGCCATCCCTCTCCAGCCTCTGACAAACAGAGGCCAAGGACACCATTTTATCCCCTGGCTAATAGCCTTTTATGGACCTAACCTCCATGAATTTATCCAGCTTCTCTTTAAACTCTATTATAGTCCTAGCCTTCACCGCCTCCTCTGGCAAGGAGTTCCACAGGTTGACAACATGCTGTGTGAAGAAGAACTTCCTTTTATATGGCAGGAATGGTTTGTTTCCCACTTGATCCCCAACACCTGTGAAACCGTGGAAAATGACATGCAGTCCAAGATAGAATCCAGTAGCTGGTGACATGATCACATGATCCTGCGGTGTCAAAGCAACCCTGTGTGTCAGCTAGCAGCATCCCAGGAAACTTTTTGAAGCAGGCAGAAGATTAGCATCTTAAGTGCTGTTGTTCCCCAATGGCTCATTGACTAACCAGCCAAGCTGACTGCATTTCCTTCAGTGGGCCTTCTGGTGTGTAAATGCTTTTGTAATTGGTATGTAGTCGGTATTCCTAACTTCAGGCACAGAAATGATACATGCATACACATAGAATAACCACAGTCAGTAAACCATAATATTTCCAGTGATGGCTGATGTGATTTATCTTGCATAAAATACATCTTAGCTGTGCCATATTCATACCAAAACCATATCTTTCTGAAGAATATGGGGCGTAATGCCATACCAGGAGCCTGGATAATTCTGCTCCTGACCGCTTTTGTGGCATTAGAGGGCACAATTAATTCTTAATTCTCAGAGCGAGGAGATTGTTAGGAGAAGATGCATTTTCAGTAAGTTCAAATGGTCTCTCCTTGTAATTTTTTTTTTTCCTGTCTCTTCTCTGCTGCTGGCACTTCAGCATGGGCTGAAACTCTTGTAGCTGCTGGCATGGTCCTCCTTCCTGCAGTGATACTAAAATAAATAAAACTTCAAAAATGTGTATTTTGTGAAAGAATCCCTTTGCTGAGCTTGGACAGCGTGGGAGGAGAATCTGAGGAGGAGGTGGAGGAACCTGAGGAAAGACAGCAGACACCAGAGACAGTTGCTGATGACCCTGGCACTTACTATGAGCAGTCTGTCAGGTAAAAAGACTGTACTCTTACTACAGGGAAGTCAAACCTGGCATCATAGGATCTGAAATCAGTTGCAAAGAGAGATCCGGAATGAAATGTATTCTCTCTAGAAGCTGGGCTTCTACTGTGGGATTTGAGCCATAAAAATGGCTAAATGATGCCCTATTAGCTGTGAGGTGGAGACATTTTTCAGCTGATGTTCCACAGAATAACCTATAACTTGCACCCCCAGGAATTCGGTGCCTACTGGAGTAAATTTTGTGGTGCCGCTCATCTGGCTTGCATTGCACTTTGCATAGCCGGGTTAAAAGCGGGCCTTCAGTATGCCCTTCATCAGAACATTTGTGATGTTCTCTAACAGCAATGACTTGGAAGAACAGCTGGAGGAACCGGTAGCAGAACCAGAACCTGAGCCGGAACCAGAACCTGAGCAGGAGCCAGAACCAGAAGTTCAGGAAGAAAAATCTGAGCCAGTATTAGAGGAAACTGTTCCCGAGGAGACGGTGGAAAAGAGTCCTTCTCCAGTCCCTGCAGATCCTGCTCCAGCAGTGCAAGAGGATTCCAGGGTAACGAACTGAGTGACTTTCAACATACTTTCACCTTTTCTTTTTCTCTTGAAGGATGGTGTATCACAGCATCCATCATGAACTTTGCTCTGTCGAGATAAGGGTAGCTGGATGAGAGGAATCCAGATTGTTTTTGCATAAGACTTCTCTCCTGCTCCCGATTTGTCCTTTTTGCCTCAAAGTTGATCTTTATCTACAGAAAACTGATTGGCCAGTTTCAATATGATAACACATAATTTGGACCCCTCTGTTTTTTGTGCCTGTTCAGTTTGCTCCAGAAACTGGCTTAAATTTGTCCTGGAGTTTTTACGATAAATTGAATGCTTTATGGTGAGGTTTGGAAGGATTAGATTTCTTTGGTTAATAATCAAAATTTAGGCTAAGAAAGAAAAACATTGCTTGAGAATTTTTGAGTTTTAAGCATAATTTCCTATTTTGGCAGGTGATATTGACCATTGTGTGTTATAGTTAAATTTTAACTCTTTGTATCTCAGTGTCGTCTGTCACTGAGTGTCTGCCCCAACTAATTTACCACAACTGAAAATTTAAATGGATTCAAAGAGGACTTTGCGTAGATCCAAAGAGTAAAGTTGAGAATTTAATCAATAAGCATCAATATCCATTGAAATGTTTAAAAAAAAAAACAAACCTCAAACTCTGTCAAGCCCACAGCTTATGGTTGTGAAGTTATTTTTCCAGATGTGGGTTGTGTAAACATTATCATGATCCATCACTCTGCTACATCCTTGTCTGTCTATGCATTGTTAAGGGGTTAAAAGCAACCTGGCTTCCCCCATTTCAGTGGGGTGTTAGATGTAGTATAATGGCCCAACATTACTGCTATGCCATATTTCTCTCCTGCTGCATAGAGGAGTGCTGGGAATGAGGCACTGTGGGGCTGGAATGCTCTACGTCCTGGCTTTTCTGCATTGGGATGATTCAGAGGCAGCTGTGGGGAAGCTGCTGCGGGTTGGATTCAGACTTTAGAAGGCTTAAATGTGGCTTTAAACAGGGTCTGGGCCTGTTGCTCAGAAGTCAAGCTTGAATTACTGAGGTAACATTGTTCATTCCTTCAGACATTTTCATGGGCGTCTGTAACCAGCAAGAATCTCCCGCCCAGTGGTGCTGTCCCGGTATCAGGAATACCCCCTCATGTTGTGAAAGTACCAGCTTCGCAGGTAGGAATTCTGCACTACTTTCACATTATTTGCTGACTTGGGGGGAAAATATGGAATAGAAATTTCCAGCTTCATGCCTGGATTTTTAGGGCTCTTCCTGGGGTGGTGGAATTGCCAGGGGCTTTGTAAATAACTGTTTAAATAATCACATTTGTAACCCTTGTAGCTGTGAAGAAAACCTTCATCAATGTAGGGCCAGTTGGACTGACAGTGTGTGTTGACCAGTGTCTAGCAAAGCGGGTATTTGCACATGAAAGCTTCTGTTCAAATAATTTGTTTAATTTTTAAGGTATCACAGAACTCCTCATTTTAGTGTGTGTTGTAGAGTGTATTTGCTTTGATTAAACCTGTGCAACAGTCTAGTGAGAGCAGATCCTTGGGTAGATCTTGGACAAACTTGCCAAGTTAGAGGAAGTAAAATCTTTCAGCCATTGTTAATCAATATCCTCTAACTCAAGGTACATTTTATTGAATGAGGGATGGCTGTTGAAAATCTAGCACTACACAGTACAAACAGAATAGCCTAGCATTTTGAATTTAGAAGTATAACTTGAGCTGAAATGCATCCTGTAGGAGCCAGAAATCTTGCATATTCTCAGGATAATCTTTAATTTGATAGTTAGGTCAGAAAAATGAACATTGCTACTAGACTTGCCTGTTTTTACACATCACTTTATTGCTCGTTCGTTTCTACAGCCCCGTCCCGAGTCTAAGCCTGAATCCCAGACTCCACCACAGAGGCCTCAGAGGGATCAGAGGGTGAGGGAGCAGCGAACAAGCATCCCGCCACAGAGAGGGCCTAGACCAAGTAAGAAGAGCTCAGAGAGCGGAGCGGGAGTGAAGTGCGTTAGTGCACATACACACCTCCCCTTTTAATTGCCTAAGGAGCCACAAAGCACTCAAAATGCCATGAGTTTTTTTTTCAGGTCTTAATGATGATTACTCTTGCTACTGTTGCTATTTCAGCTGATCTATACATGAACCTCTGTGCCAGCGTTCCCTCAATTTATTCCATCCATGTGCAGAACAAATTTGATTTGCACTGAGGCATGTGCGGATGTGCATCACTAGTAGAAGCACACACACTGCTGGCTGTGGGCACTCTGCTAATCAGCTGAGCAACATTTTAATCGCTCCTGTGTGTCTGTCCAAGCACTCAGTTTACAGGGAACAGTGCTCTATTTCGGAGAAACGAACATATGCTGAGCAAACTTTTTGTATTTGAGAGACTTTCTAATGCATGTCTGTTGTGGATTTTCAGTAACTTTCACTAGAACTGGAGAGACTAGTATGCAACAAGATTCAGTTAATCCTGGAGGTTGGAACTGTTCAGGTATTATGTAGGAGTTTGACCTTAAGCAAGTATGTTTTTTGTTTTAAGTCCGTGAAGGTGAGCAGGGTGACATGGAAACGAGACGGATTGTCAGGTATCCAGACAGTCATCAGCTGTTTGTTGGGAACCTTCCCCACGATGTGGATAAAACTGAACTGAAGGATTTCTTCCAAAGTAAGTTAGTGACTTACTTCGCTGTGTTCACCAAAGGGTTTGGGGGTTGCATCCTTAAGCCCGTGTCTGTTTCTGCAGAGCATTCTAATGTGTGACCAAAGAACTTGGCTCCTCTCTTGCAGATTATGGGAACGTCGTGGAACTCCGCATCAACAGCGGTGGGAAGCTCCCGAACTTTGGGTTTGTGGTGTTTGATGATCCCGAACCCGTTCAGAAGATCCTTAGCAACAGGGTAAGGAGGTGGGGTTTGGCCTCGCAGGGGTTTGTATCTGTTCCTCACTCTTAATGGTGGGTGAGATCTGTCTGACCCATAAGGAAAAAGGATTTTTTTCTAGCCAGTTGATTTTTTTTCCCATTCTGTCTTCCTCTGCCTGCAGTTTATATCCATATATGAACCACTCTGGGTAAATGTGATTTTTACATATTCATGCTGTTAGGAAATTAACACCTACCATTGGCCAAATTTAGCACTGAAGCAAACCCAAAGAGAGAAGGCTGCCATGGAAAATGGAATTAGCCAATTGCAGGAGGTAACAGATTGTATATCAGAGCTCCAAACAACACTCCCATAGGCAAACACCCTTTGCCAGCAGCTGCCATATGGGAAATTCATGGCTCTTTGAAACAAATTAATCTTGTCATTGTAGGCCATTGGTCTCCAACCTTTGTCTAAGCATGAGAGCTCCTTTTTTAATTTGTGTAATCCAGGATCTACCACACAGCCAGACACATTTACCCCACCTCCTCTCACCCCTGCTCTATTCTCTCTCCTTACCCCATCCTCACTCACTTTGATCAGTCAGAGGATTGGTGCCCAGGAAAAGGGGAATGCAGGCTCTGATCTTGGACTTGAAGGATTTGGAGTGTAGAAGGGGCTCTGAGCTGAGCCTGGGGTAGGGAGTTGAGGTGCAGGAAGGGATTCAGGGTGCAGGCTCCGGAAGGGAGTTTGGGAGCAGGGGGACTCAGGGTTAGGGCTGGGGGTTCAGGTCTGGGGCCAAGGTTCAGACTTCAGGCTCCAGCTGGGCACTGCTTATCATAGGGGGGCTTTTGGGTGGTGGTGCAAGAGGCTAAGGCAGGCTCACCCCTGCCCTGGGCTCACACCACTCCCAAGAGCAGCCAGCAAAGTCTCCAGCCCCCCCATCCCCTTTCACTCTGTGGAGATGGGATGCAGGGTGAGGGGAGGGGCACCCTGACCTCAGCACCCCCCTCCTATTCCTGTGCCCTGCACAGCAAGCAGGAGGTTCCCAGGGATGGGGGGCAGCTCTAAGGCAGAAGGCAGGAGCAGCACGGTAGTGCTGAGAGTAACTGAAGTGCTGGCGCTTGATAGCCTCCCAGCCAAACCTGTCACGATCCCGTCAGAGGCTCCGAGATCTGCCAGTAGATCCTGAATGCCTGGCTTGGTGACCACGGTCGTAGGCTTTTCAGTGTTTTCAAGGTTTGCGTGCACGTGTGTGTGTGAGAGGGGGAGAGAGAGAAGTGATACGTACACAGCTTGGGGGGTGGGCTCTGGATTCCAAATGGAAGAACAGCCTTTCTTCCTGGCCCAGATCCCAGGTGAAAAGCATTGAGGTGTGTGTGTGTGTAGGGGAATCATGTTAGTATTTGACTTGAAGGAATTCGCACTCTAAGCAGGCCGAGTGCCGTCACCAGCTCTCCACCTGGCCGCAGCCACTATGAATGTGAAAGGCTCTAGCACACCTGTATCTGCACAGCCAACCATTCAGAGAGTTGTAGTGTGCAGCTGTCGGGGCGTCTTCCTCCCACACTCTCCGTGCTCTTGGAGAGCAGTGGCCAGTCCTTGCCTCCTTCCTGTATGTATTCGGTTTATATCCTTTTGTGCCCTCTTCCTGCAAGTCTCACATCTGCAGGCTCGAGGGAATGTTTGTGTCAGACTTAAAGTATAATTAACCGTGATGTGCTCCCTCTTGCTAATCCAAGACACTAATGGGATTTAACCCGGGGCTGATCTGTTCAAATATCTTCTAATAGTTCAGAACACTTTATTTCAAGCTGTAATTAACTTATAGTTATCTGCATCGATCGTCAGGGATCATGCCCAGTATGCTGGACACGGTTCTAGACCAGTTCTTGCAAGAACATCTCTGCTACATTGCAAATGCTGCCTATCAGGGCTTAAAGATTACTAGTGAACTATCAACCAGAGAGCTAAACCTGCTCGCCAGTATTTGGGTAAAGGGAGGCCATGCCAGTAGGCTAGGGGCAACATGACAGTGAGAACCTTAAACTCTATTCCAGTACTTGATTGCTGGGAGCCGTATTAGGGTATTGGTGGGGCAGCTCAGAAGGAACTTGCAGCCAAGATTCCCAAAAGCTTTCTGTCTGTCACTGGGAAGGGGGATTTCCAAGCCCTTGTTTAGATGTTACAGCATCTCAGATACCCTGCTGAGTCTTGCCATTGGCCTCTTCTCTGCTTCAGTGCAATTTACCAACTAGTTGTGTGGACAAATCATGCGCTGCTACATGGCAAGCCAGAGAGTGAAGCTGCAGTGCATTATGCGCTAACTAGCCACGTGGACCCTGCTGCTGCTCCTTGGAAGTCCCACAGGGTGGCTCTGGGTACCGTGGTAATTGCTGTAGTTGTCGGGGATTACTGGTGTGATGTGCCGACAGGTCTCCTGCTCTGCTGGTGATGATCAGTCGGCTGCGTACGTGTGTGCTCAAGTTACGTGTGCCGTGTTGACTTGCGCCAGGAAAGAGCACGGCAGCCACCACGAGAGCTCCCAAAGACCACAAATCAGATAAGGATCAAAGGCGCCCGGCCAGGTTCATTGTTAAGCAAACAGTAATAGTTGTCAGTAGACTGTACCCAACCACTACGCACATGTACCCCAGAACAATGGACAAATTCAGTCAGCGGGAGGTCCCGCTGCCCTGTAGGCCAGACAAAGACCGCCCCTCCAAGACCCCACTTTATATACAGGTACAAACAAGTTACTCATCACTCCTGGCACATCAGGTTGCCACCTTCTGACGCTACTTAGATACCACCCATCACACTGCACCTTGTGGTTTGATTGAAATGACAGCGCAATGGATAGAGGTGTTCTAGACCCTTTCCTGAACCTGGGTCGGTATCTGTGGGGCACGTGGTCTTTTTTAACTAGGTGCTGTCGTCCTCTTGGAATGCGCGTTCAACTTATGCCCAGTACCAATGACTGTTTTACAGCCGGTACCTAGTACCGGTTACTGTTGTACACCTGGTCCTGTTGCCAATTAGTATTTGCGCACTCAGCCCTGTTCATGCCAAGTTCCGTGAAAAAGGGCCTGCCTCTTGCACACAGCTTGGCTAATGTAAAGCAAAGCTAAGTTGTGTCCATTGTTAGGCCTCAGACCAGGTCTGTGCTACCTACACTCTTGTTTCAGGCCCTCATCTTGACTACAGTAGCTGCCGTCTAGACAAGCCCTCAGGAACTCATCACAGCAGTACAAAACGCCCCTTTCGTGAAAGCAGCAGATTCCACTAGAGCGCATGTAGCCTGCGGTTACAGGCCTCTGAGCTGCTTCAGATCCGGAGAAAGACCAACACTTGTCTTGCTTGTACTTAGCCCTGCCATGAGTGCAGGGGCTGGGCTAGATCTCTCAAGGATCCTTCCAGTCCTGTGATTCTGTGGAAAGTCAACTGAGCCTCCGTAGCCGTTATCGAATGCCTTGTCCATTGGAGTAAGATGAGCTTGTCTCGCTAGCCGTTATTTAGCCCCTTGCTAGGAAAGGTGGAGCATGTGGAGTGTTCAGTTGCCTAAAGTCATGGTTCAAACAATTGGAAGGATGAATTTTTTTTCATAGCTTCCTGCCACCCCCAACAAACTGTCTGGCTGAGTACACAACTGAGAGGTTAACCCCCCACCCCCACCCCCACCCCCACCCTTGTGAATAGGTGGCCGTCATGAGCTTTATTTCTTTCTTCCTTGTTTTATTTCCATTCCTAATTGTAATCTTGTTGACAGGAGCTGCTTAACCTCCCCTCCTCCCCCCCGTGGAAGGCTTTGTTGGAGAGCTGCACGGTTAATGCTGGTAAATCTTTTTTCTTTCTCTTGCCAGCCCATCATGTTCAGGGGCGAGGTGCGTTTGAATGTGGAGGAGAAGAAAAGCTTTATTTCTTTCTTCCTTGTTTTATTTCCATTCCTAATTGTAATCTTGTTGACAGGAGCTGCTTAACCTCCCCTCCTCCCCCCCGTGGAAGGCTTTGTTGGAGAGCTGCACGGTTAATGCTGGTAAATCTTTTTTCTTTCTCTTGCCAGCCCATCATGTTCAGGGGCGAGGTGCGTTTGAATGTGGAGGAGAAGAAAACACGAGCCGCCAGGGAGGGCGACCGCAGAGACAACCGGCCCCGTGGACCTGGAGGCACTCGGGGAGGGTTGGGAGGTGGGATTCGAGGGCCTCCACGTGGAGGGATGTCTCAGAAACCAGGATTTGGCGCTGGAAGGGGCATCGGGCAACGCCAGTGAATGCATCGAGGATGTTGGCAGGGTGGCACAAACCCTCGTTCCTGCAGATTTGTGAATTTCAGCCTTGGGTATCTTGGAATGTGGCCCTAGCCAGTTATAGACTGCTACGTTTGATACTATTTTGGCCCCTTTTTTGTTTTGTTATGGTTTTGTGATTTTTTTTTCCTAGTCCTTGTCCCATATTCCAGCTTTGTGGAACAATATTTTAGGAAAAGTGGATTTTAAAAAGAAACGAACTGAAGTTCCTTGCTCACTGCAAGCTTATGGACTGGATTTTTTTTATTTGTACGAGTGGTCTGTCCTAAAGGAATGGGGTTTTTGCCCTATTCAGTCAGTGGAATAATCTTTCACCTGCATGTGTTCAAGAGCCTGTAGGAAAACCTAGCACTTGGCAAGCATTTCAAAGCAGGAGAAACTATTGTCTATCCCTTGCGGGTAACGTGAACATCCTTTGGTCTGGCCATGTTGCCACTTGAAAAATTGACATTCGCTCTTCTCTCTGTGGCGCTGTAAAAGTGGAATAAAAGCTATCCATAGAATCTTTTTTCTTTTGATACATGATCACGAAAAGGAATTCTAACTACTGTTTTACCACTTGCAAATTTTGGATTGTGGGGTAGGTTTTAAATGTCTAGAACTTGACTCTTAAAACACTTTTCCTGAACTTGTGAAATTTTTTATTGAAATAGGGAGTTTTTTTCATGTTTTAGTTTGTATTTGTATAAAAAAAGCAAAATTGTTGTGCCTTCTATTTATCTCTCATTCCAGTCTTGGCAAATTGTTAAAAAAATAAAAAAAGTCTAGATTTGCTTTATCAAGTGGAGTATGTTGTAATTCTTGCAAAGAGGTGTGTTTCTCCTCCATTCTGCCCATCACTGCCTTAACTACTTCGGAAACTGAACCAAACTTTGCTGTGGGTAGTAGGTAGAACTGTCTAGTCGTATAAAACACGTGGATTGTTGTAGACTGAATGCTTGCTTTATTCCATGGACTAAAAAGTAATGTGCACTTTTTTTTGTAACGATTCCCATTGTGACTAGGAAACTTTGGTTGTAAATGTCTTTATTATTTACAAAATAGTTGAAATGTAAAAGTGCTTGGTAGGATCCTGTGTGCTTACTCTGTTCTTGATTATGGCGGCATTTTTGCAAGTTATGCATCAGTTTAGAAACTGCCATCTGCCAGAGGTAAAACTGCTTACATTAGCTGCAGTGTTTGACGTCACGCTAGAAGTGTACGGATTATCTCGATTGCTGGTATATACACCTGGTATTGAATACATTCCTTATTCTCAGATGCCACTGAGATTGAAAATGAAGATATAAAACACTGTGTTATAGCAGCCTTAAAGGATTACAGTGCACCGCACACTGTGCTTATTTGGGTAACCTCTGGGGTATTCTAATTCCATTGTATGGAAAAACATCTGGAAGAAAATCGCAGTCTTGCTTCTAAATTGACCCCAAAGGCTTCTGATCTTAGATTTGAGTGGTGGCTCCATGCACCACCTTCTCTCACTAATAAGTGAGACTGTATGATACATTTAAGTTCAAATACCTCTTGCAGTATCTGCATCACTCGGAGACCCCAGAGAGCTTATTAGCAATTCTTATTCCTGAGAGCCAGGATTTAGTGCATCGAAGTGCTGAGTTTTCTCATGCAGGATCTGTGCAGATGGGAGTGACATAGACCTATCTTGTGGCCTCTGCATTCAGCTCTACAAACTGGAACAGAACTGCCTGTGTGTGGCCAGGGGAAGGTCACTATAAACCATTCCAGAAAAGTTTCCTGTGAATTGGTGTAGTTAGTTTGTGCTTCATGCAGGTCAGTGGAAGCTTTTGTCAGAGGCATCAATGTTTGTTTTAAAACCTGTTGTTCAACTCACCTCTCCAACATTTTACAGACTGACTTGATTACTTTGGGGTGAAGATTAAAAAATACAATGCTGGTAGCTGTCCTCACAGTGTACCACCTTAAGGCATGGGTGTCTGGGAAATGAACACCCTTTGCCCTTGCAATAACTGGTAGTGTCTGTTCTAAATACATGACCTAACCTCCGATCAGGAAAACCTAGTGCATACCACAGCCAAGGGCTTTAGTGCAAGTGTTTCTCTGTGGCTTCCCAGCTGGCATTCTTCCATTGCTTTTCACACTTACCCCTCAATGATATACATGTCAGCTTGGCTCCTATTCGGACTGGGGAGAAATCAGACTGGCAATAGATTGTCAAAGCACTCTGTGGAGAGGCTGGAATAAATCGCACCTATGTCTACCACATACCAGTGCTGGCAACGCTTCTCAACTTGTGAAAGGAGCGTTTGCTTAGAGGGATTTTTGTCATTGTTTTTGGCTGAAAATCTAATTTTAGGAGGGCAGTGGAGAAGACTCTCAAAACCTAAATGGGTTTTGTGGTTGAACTCTCCTGTTTTAGACAGCTAGACTTTTCTGGTGTGAATGTAGCGTCGTCATTCTATTGCTAGAAGACCAAACTGATCAGACTCTCTTCATAGGCGAAGGTGAATGAAATACCAAAATTAAAAAGATGTGAAACTTCTAATGCCTGTTTTGTTACAGGAGAAACGAGACGACGGTGCTGACAGCATCTCAGACTTAACGAATTTGTGGTCAAGGCTACAGTTTTGGCATAGAGGTCACAGTGTTCACAGGATTTGAATCAAGTCTGTGATGAGCCTTCCTCAACGCACCTCACAGTGGTGGCTTCTGTCCCGGGGGGTGGGCCTGGCTCCTCCCTGGAGGTGTTGCGATGTGGTTGCGGTGCCGCCTAGTTTTGGCATGTCCACTCCTCTGCGGAGGGAAGTGCATGCCAAACCTGAGTGTGCGCTGCCTGCTGACAATGCCAAGAGCAGAGAGCTGGGACCAGTCCCGTAGGACAGGAGCCACCACTGTGAGGTGAGTCTGAGGTATGCCTATTCTCAACACCCCTTTTCCCTCTGCTGTGAAACGCACTAAAAACCGCCCTGCTGAAATCCCAGCCTATGCGTTATTTATTGATGGAAAACAACATCTTGTCTCCTTGCTGGATGCTTAGAGAAACTTCAACTAGGCTAATTCCTGATCAAGCTCTTCAGGACAAGAAGAGCATTCAGCTGGCATGTTGGCTCAGTCAGTCTGTCAGACTTGAGCCGAAGCGTTACTGAGTTGGCACAGCTGCTCCAGCTAGATGCATTGAAATGGGCAACCCGGTCATGCTCTTTCTGCACTAACAGCAGTGATGGAGCATGGAGAGCTCTGAAGGGCCTGGAGGTACCGTTTGTAACCTCCCTGGAGACTTGTGTGGCAGCACAAAAGCTTCATTTTAGTAACCTCAAGAGCTCTGTTCAGTCATCCAAGAGCTCAGTTTTGGACAGAACCTTCCTTTCTGGAAGAGCCGAAGTAGGTCCTAAGAGAAGAGGCCCTGTTAGTTCACAAGGTGGCAACAGGCCTTCAAAAGTCCTGCTCTGAATGGTTCAGACGTCTACAAAAAAGCAGTGGGGTGTTAAAACGGGAGCCTTCCTCTCTCCAGGCCAGCCGGAATAAGTGCATAGTCGCTTCCCCAAGGAGCAGGCACGTGTGCGGTGTTACTAGAATTAACAGTGGTACCAAGAACATACCTATTTTTGTCGTCGTCTTGCTGGTCTAGTTCGTGAGCACTACAGTATCAAGCCTACTTTGTAAGAAATGGAGAGCATGACCCTATGTTCTCAGCTGTGTTTATCGACTTACCTGAATCAGCTTTCGATAAGTATAAGGAGTGGGACAGTAAATCCTATGGAGTAGACAGGTTTTCAGTCCACTCTAAACGCTCATTACAAGGCCTTGGTCTCTGTCATTTTTAACCACCTCTTGTATGGCACCGATTTTTGTGTGTTCGTTTTGGTACCTTGAGCGATAAGCTGGATTTCCGTGCATGAAATTATGTCCTTGAGATTCCTACTATGTTGGCTGTTCTACCTCTGCTTGTAGAAGGTGCAGGGCCTTGAATGAAGAGTGGTTGTCCTGAAGAGAGGCAGCTGTGTCTGCCTGATACTTGTATTGGCTCAGAAAAAGTTGCTACCTATGTCTGCCTTGTGTGAGTACCAGAATAAACAGCCAGCAGTCCCTGTTGTGCTTCAGGTGGGGTGGTCTGGGAGGGGTCACAACTGCAGTATTGAATTGGAAAGAAATAGCTGGCCCTTGATGTTTCCACTAACTAGTCCAGGAAGAGGAATGTTACAATATCCAGGCATTTGTTTCCTCCCCACCTTTCAAAGAGAGCCAGAAATGTTCAAGATAAAGACCTGATATTTTTGTTGCTTCTCCCTCCCTGCCTGCTGCTGCCCGTGGCTGAGAATACGAGCAATTTGCCTAATGACTTCTTGCTATAGCATTTACAGCTTATGCCTGTGTCTTTCTCAGCGTGGCTGGTAACTGAGAAATTACCATTGCAGCCTCTCTGGGAAACTTATTTGCATGTTCTCTCGTTAAGGCTGGCTACATAATAATGGATTTAATAATGGACTTTTTGATATGCTTAATCAGAAATGGTTGACGAAATGGCATGCTCTGGTGTTTCTTTAATGTAAATAGGCTTTGGCAGGAGGCTTTAAATGACCTGCATTGGGGAAGCAACAGTGCATCATCGCAGTATAAATAGGTGGCTGCAAACCCCTTTTTCCACCCTTCTTTCCAGTCTTGGCTTAAGCACGGTAGGTATTGTGTGATGAATAGAAATTCAATACTTAGTTGCCTTGGCAGGTAGTAAAGGTAAAATATTTTGTCCTTCCTCCAGTCTCCCAGTCTTCAGTTTGAGGAACTTGTTTGAATAAAGTCATTTAAAAAAAAAAAAGCCTTAAACCCGGGATCATTTCATCCAAGACTGAAAGGCAGTGCTATGTACAAGCAATGTAACAGCTGCCCATCTGAGAACTAACTGGTGAGTTTTCTACTAGGACAGTTCTGTCTCTGCATAAACAGAGTTCCCTAGAACAAGTTTAAAAAAAAAAAAAAAGCAAACATAATTCTGGGCTGCATTAACGGGAGTGTTGTGAGCAAGACCCGAGAAGTCATTCTTTCGCTCTGCTCTGCGCTAATTAAGCCTCAGTTGGAGGAGTGTGTCCAGTTCTGGGCACCACATTTCAAGAAAGATGAGGAGAAATTGGAGTAGGTTCAGAGAAGAGCAACCAAAATTATTAAAGGTCTAGAAAACATGAAAGACCTGAAAACTGGGCTTGTTCGGTTTGGAAAAAAGACTGGGGGGGGGGACATGATAGCAATTTTCAAGTACCTAAAAGGATGTTACAAGGAGGAGGGAGAAAAATGGTTCTCCTTGGCCTCTGAGGATAGGACAAGCAGCAATGGGCTTAAACTGCAGCAAAGGAGGTTTAGGTTGGACATTAGGAAAAACTTTGTCAGGGTGGTTACACACTGGAGCAAATTGCCTGGGGGGTTGTGGAATCTCCATCACTAGAGATATTCAAGAGCAGGTTAGACAGGCATTTATCAGGGATGATCTAGACCAGGGGTTCCCAATCTGGGGTACACGTACCCTCAGGGGTTATGAGAAGCTTGTCAAGGGGATATGGGGAATATTTGGTAAATAACTAGATTATCCTAATAGAAATATTCCAAAAGTAGTAGTGTTAGTGAAAAAAGTTGTGGATTCTTGAGTCTAGAATTTATTTCCTTTCATACTGAATAGGCGGTACAGGAAGGCTTACTAAAAGTCAAGGTGGTACAGGGACCAAAAAAGGTTGGCAACCCCTCATCTAGACCATGCTTGGTCCTGCCGTGAGGGCAGGGGAATGGACTTGATGACCTCTCAAGGTCCCTTCCAGT